AAAAAAAAAAAAAAAGATTTTTCTCTCAGGACTGTACTGATGTGTTGGAATTACAAATGGCCTCTAGATGTGTTTTCTAAGAACTGAAACTGCTTCTTGTGTCCCGAGTCCTCAATCAGCCTGTGTCCTTCCATATACACCTCTGTATTGCACATCTGATTCCTTACACAGCTCATGCCAAGCCTGTACTAGTCGGCAGCCTCCCTGGGGGATGCTCTGAGTCCCCACAGTGGGCAGCAGGGCACACAGAGATCCTGCACAGAAGGGCCCCATTGGGTCCTGACATCCCTCAGCCTGAGAAGGAAAGTTCTCAGCACTCATGGAAGAGAAAGAGTAGCGGTTTTTGTCCTTTGCATGGTGAGGAGACACAGCTGGCAAAGACCAGGCCAACCCTGTGGGTTGCTATGCCCATGAAATATTCCTTCTAGAGACCTTCATCCTCACCTTGAGTCTTTATGGCCTCGGGTCTAAAGTTCATTCAGTAACTAATTCTCAAAGAAAAGGAATTTCTTAGGCACACATTTGACTTTTGCTTCGGTCTTTACAAATCTACACAAGTGATTTCAAGCAAATCATTTAACTTGTAGCTTGTTCCTCTCATCTTTTTCCTTCAGACTCAGTGTGTCTACAATGGTATGCATTTATGAAAGTACAGACTGCTCTGCTTCTTTTTATAAACAGTGTAGGACAGGATTTTCCTCATGTTCATGTCAGCTATAAACACAATTATGAATACAGTATTTCTCCAGATGGATTAGATTAGTCTAACTTCCGTATTTTGTTTTTTTAAAATGTGGGTGTTGCTAGTGGATTGCTTAACACCAAATGTAATAATAACATATTTCAATAGAGCTTTGTCATTCACAAAGCACATTACATCACCTAAGGAATGATATGTGTAGTTTTTTATCACTCTTTCACTTCCTTTTATAATTTTTCCAGAGTTAAATGCCTGTAACTTTCTCAAGCAACCATCGGTGCATGGAAATGTGGGATTTTCCTATTCAACAACAGTATGGTAAGGACCATATCATTCTGTTTTGGGATTTCTTGGACCAATTTTAATAAAAAATTATTACCAAGTACTTTGAAAATATAAATGATCACTAAATTTTAGTTCATTCTACAGAAAACCTCATTAACTTGGTATTGGCTAATTTAATTTAATGTCTCCTTCAAAGAATTTTTCTCTTCACTAGATGATTAGATGGGTTTGCTGTATGATAAGCACAGTTAATGCACAGTGTAAAACTATTATAAAAATTTATATTGAAAATTAGGTACAAAGACTTTGAGAATTGACTTTGCATGAAATAAGTCTTAAAGATCATCTACCTTATGGAAATATTGAGGTTGAAATAAAAAAATATACAAAATTCTTTGACCATCATCTTAAATGTATAGTAAGGCACCATTTCTTTAAATTAAAAAATAATTTTTTCCTTAAATTTCAGATTTAAAAATCTTAGGGTAATTATCTTAAAGTTAGATATTAGAAAATTAGATATTTTAAATAAAAACTGACAATGTGACTAAATATTTCCATAAGTATTAAAATTTTTTTGAGATTTCTACCAATTTCATTATTAGCATAGTTTAAAACAGTATCATTACATAGGCACATGATAAATTATTTCACAATGAAGTACAATGAATCAACTTAATCCCTGTATAGGGATATTTTTATATTTTTAAGTACAAGCATGGGGCTTAGTAACTGGTTTCTAATAAAAGTATTTTTTTTTTTGGTACTGGGGATCAAACTTGGGTCCTTGTGCTTGTGCAGCAGGTGGTGAAACCACTGAGCCAAATCCCTGGGCCAGTAAAAGTATTTTTAAAAAATCTGACCAGTAGTAAAAATAATTTAGCCATCAGCTGAATATTTTAAATTAGCACATAGCGTTTTCTTCAAGCTATTACAATCTATTATGATCACTTACCACATTTTTTGTTCTGTCAACGTTACTGAGTTTTCCAGACACTACATTGTAAGTGTTTCCAATAGGTTTTTCAGCAGGGAGTGGAGGTGGGCTTTGTGGATCCTCAGGTAAACCTTGCGAAAACAGCAGTAATTCATTAGTAATGTCTAGCCTGGGATTCTAAAGAATGAAATGATTGTAGCTTGGTTCTTTAGCAAAATCACGATCATAAAAGACCCAAAGAATAGACAGTTAAGCAAATGAGAAAGAGCTCTCAGCAAACCTCAAAAATTGATGTTAGTCAACATCAATTAATTTTATTACATGTTTCAGAGAAAGTGAAAATGATACTAAGTAATACTAAATAATTATAACAGCAATTAGCATTTGCTGGGAACCTTCTCTGTGCCAGATATTAATTCAGGCACTTTATTTGCATACATTTCTCTAACCAACAAACAAGGTACAATCAACAAATATGGTAAGTGTTTAAAAGTTTAAAAAATTATTACAATAAAAGACACATTGCCATTAATCCCCCTCAAAATATTCCCCCTCACTTTGAACACATTTATCCCATCCTTCTTGATACTTTCTGAAACACTTCTGGAAGACCTCTTTTGTGAGTGTCTTTAGTTGCACTGTTATGGCTGCCTTCATGTCCAGAATCCATTTAAAAAGCTTACCTTTCCTGGTTACTTTGACTTTGGGGAAGAGCCAAAATTTGCAAGGTGTCAGATCCAATGAATAAGGTGGATGAGGACACACGATAAGGTTTTTATTTGACAGAAATTGCAGTAAACATTTGATCAATGAGAGGTGATCAAAAACATGGTTAATGTTTAAATAAGAAATGTATTACAGTAAAAGACACATTGTTATTAATTTCTCTCAACATATTCAAAATACTTCTTCTGACTTTGGACATACATTTATCCCATAGCTACTGGCAATGTGTCTTTCATTGTATTAAGTTTTCTTTAAAATGTAAACATTTACTCTATTCTTCAATCATCCCTTGTATCGATGTGCTAGATTTGCCTCTGAAGTGATTTAAACAAATTTTAATTAAAATGAAGTAAATTTGTTTCTCAGTTATACTACCCATATTTCAAATACTCAATAGCCACTTATTAGGTCAGATACAGAACATTTCTATCATGGTAGATATTCTACATATTTTAATAGATGAAAAAAGTGAAGTTACCAAAAAAAAAAAAAAAAGAGTTACCTAAGGTCTTAACGTTAGTAACTGTTAGGTTTTCTTTTAGTTGTGAACCCAAAACCCTGTCTCATTCTAATAAGACATATTGCTTAATATGTGGCATACCCAACCCTTCCTCATGTAATCATTAAATGTTTTTCAATTCATTAGCTCTAGATTCATAAACATAATTAATCTCAATTAAACAAACAATACCTTTACATCCAAATCACATTTTTATCTTAGTAACAGTGTACTCCCAACAGATGAAAAAACAGATGACCAGATCTAATTAGTGGCAGCTAATTAAAATCAGTGTGCAAGAAGAGCTGAAGAGAGGTTACTAAAACATACTGAAGAAAGCTAAAGCCACCTTTAATAGTGTTTGCTTTAGACATTGAAAGGAAATGGGAATTCTTTTTTTTTAAAACAAAAGAATACTTTTTATTTCTATTTCACATGAAAAACCTGTAACAAGAGGATGATTTGTAAGGTGCTTGTTTTATCAACAGACAGGAAAACATTCTTAAAAGGAGGAAAATACCCAGGTCAGTTACTAGAAAAACAATGATTCCAAGACAGGCAAGTGTTGTCAATGAGAGGCAGGGCTGCTCTGGGGATTATAACACACAGAATACCCAATTCAGCCACCACCTTGAAGCCTTTCCCTGCTGCATCCTTAGGGAATAAAGAATCACAGGAAAGAAACTCTGTTCTAAGAAATATTGAAGAATACAAAGTAGTACTATGAAAGTGAGTGAGAAGCTCACTGGCAGGAGGGACATGGGGAGTCTCCATCTGGGTGTGACAGGCTGAGGATGAAGATGATTTCCAATTTTAAATAATATGGCAGGTGAAGGTATCACTGAGAAAGTGACATTAGAGCAGAGACATAAAGAGTGCTGAGGGAGCCTGGGATTTAGCTCAGTGGTTCCGGCGCCTGCCGCCCAAGCGCAAGGTCCTGAGTTCGGTCTCCGGTACAAAAAAAAAACAAAAAAAAAACAAGTGGTGAGGGAGAAAGCCATGTAGACATCTGGGGATATCCATTTAGAAAGAACAGGTCCCACAGTGGACGGAGCTGACCAGTTCAAAGAACATCAAGGAGTTTGGTACAACCAGGCCGTTACTTTCTCGCCTTGTCCATTCCATTTCAAGTTTTTTCAGATGCCAGAGTCTTGTTCTTTTTCTGCTGCAGTATACAGCACATGCATTGCTTAATAAAAGTAATAACAGAATTTGGGGAAACTGGTTTTTGTTTAAAGGACCTTTTTTTTTTCAGTAGTGGGGTTTGAATCCAGAGCCTTTTCACTGAGCTACATCCCCAGCCCCCCTTTTTATTTTTGTTTTGAGACACGATGTGTTTAAGTTGCTAAATTGCCCAAGTGAAGCTCAAGCTTGTGATCCTCCTACCTTAGCCTTTCAGATGCTGGGATTAATGGCTGTGTATCACCATGTCTGGCTTAGAAAATTATTATTATTTTTTTTTGGATATAGGGTTTCACTGTGTAGTCCAGGCTGACCTCAAATTCACTATGTAGTCCAAGCTAACTTCAAACTTGCAGTGATCCTCCTGCCTCGGCCTCTCAAGTGCTGGATTACAGGAGTGCATCACCACACCTGGGCTTTAGAAGAACTCTTTAGAGACCATTTGGGGATGTCAGTTATCTCACTTCTAACAGTATAGAATTCAACTTTCTAAAAATTCTTGGAGCGTCATCAGGAGAAAAACAAAAGGTGCTTCCTCAGCATATGCCCAGGATTGCAGAGCTACTAATTCCAGTTCATACGTGTGCAGAAAAAGTAAACACAATAAGCCTGAAACTCTTTGTTCTTAGAAAGGTCTGCTTAGAAAGTTGGTCCTTGGCTGGCATCTGGGAACTTGGACTCTAGGAGTTTTCACCATTCCCAGAACTGAGAAAACAGAAGAATGTGGCCGGTGCTGAATACCTGCTTTCCTGCTGGGAATGTGGAGTTTTTGTGCTTGTCAGCATTTCTGGGGATGCCTGTGTAACCAGCCCCTCAAAACAAATATGGGCAATGACTGACTAATGAGCTTCTCTGGTTGATAACATGTCACATATGCTGTTACAACTCACTGCTAGGAGGGTTCACCATGTCCTGTGTTTTCACCAGCAGAAGACTCTTGGAAGCTTGCACCTGGTTTCTTCCAAACCTTGCCCCATCTGCCTTTCCCCTTTGTTGATTCTTTCATACGTACTTTGTGTGTGTGGTGCGGGACACTGACCCAGGGTGTTGGATGCCAGAAAAGTGCTCTCTTACTGAACTATAGACCTTATTTTAAGACAGGTCTCGTTAAGTTGCTCAGGTTGGTCTTGAACTTGTGATCTGACTGACTCAGCCTTCCCAGTAGCTGGGATTACAGGCATGCACCACCATGCCCAGCTCATATACTTCCACTGCAATAAGTCACAGCCATGAATATGACTATTTTTTGAGTTGTGCAAGTCCTCCCAATGAATTAAGAAGCCTGGGTTGTCTTGGGGACATCAACACAATAGCAGAATAAGTTTAAGTATAAAATTTATATTACTACTGGGGATGGTGGCACATGCCTATAATCTCAGCACTCTGGGCAGCTGTGGAGGATCTCAAGTCAGAGCCCAGACTTGGCAATTTAGTGACAGTAAGACTCTGCCTCAAAATAAGAAAGAAAGGGTGGTGGTGGCTGGGGATGAAACTCAGTGTGTAGGTCCTGGGTTCAATCCTCAGTACTACAAAACAAAACAAAACAAAAGCTCTATTACTTAACATCCAAATGAGCTACTGGCAACACTTACCATCACTGTATTTCACTCTCCTGTTAAAATCCAGAATGCACTTAATCAGGGAACAGCAAACAGGGAACACCTGGTTGAGCGATCGTTTTACTGATTCTGGCTATATAATACTGTCAAAAGAAACACACCACCACTTCCTTAATCTAACACTACAATTTAACTTCCTAAGAAATGAGAACCCACCGGAATTTGGCACCCTTGAATTTTTCTCCTCCTCATTCTTGATGGCAAATCAGTTCAGTCTTCTTGCTACTTGGCTGAGAGCCATCATCAGTTAATGACAAAACCATCAAGAGACTTCGAAGTCTCTCAATATGATCCTTCTGGATACTGATACTGCTTCACAGAGAAAAATAAACCCCTAAAATAAAAGATATGCCTGCAGTACAGTCACAGGGTGCTTGCTACAGGTCAGAGTCCTGAATACTTGCTGTGGTGTCAGGAGAATGGAGTGGGCAGGATGTCTTGTTAGACAGAAGCAAGGACTATGCAAAAGCACTGCAGGTATAAATGAAATCAGGCCTGTGGAGAAAGCTCGTGATTGCTCCCAACAATGACAGGAACTGCTCTGGAACCCACTGTGTGTACATGTACACACATGATTTTACCTATACTTTAAAAATAATTACCTGGGGCATAAAATAAATAGTGCCTCTCCTTTGGGCTTATCCTTTATGATAAATAACAAATATCTTTCCTTTATCTGGTGATGCTGAAATCGAACCCAGGACCTAGCACATGCTAGATTCTACCACTGAGCTACATCTCAAGCCCCATACAGATGATTATATATATATACACATATATATATATGTATGTTTTCGGTACCAGGGATCAAACCCAGGACCTTGCACTTGCGAGGCAGGTGTGGTGGCACTGAGCTAAATCCCTGGCCCCAGTTGATATTTTTTTTTAAGTACCCATTAAAGCTCACATAGAATTTGTTTTATTGTACCATTTAGAAAATTAAAGATATATATACGTAGATTCCATTAATTTGAAATATTTTTATCTAGCAATTAAGCTATCATAAGAAAAAAAGTATTCTTATACATCGTTGCATGTTTTTAAAGCTTTTGGTTATAGATCCTCATACAATTCACACAGTCATATTTGGACTATGCTGATTTGAACAATATACTCCTGATAGACATATACAACTTTATTTGCTATTAGTTTCAATTACTTTCCTACCACTCTTAACCAGAGGCGCTAACAAGGGATTCTACAATTGTTCTGAGATTCAGTCTCCCTCTAATTCTCTGTGCCTAAAGATTAAAGAAACATGAAATCCAAATTTACGTACTAATTCTCCAAAGAACTGTGAGAAAACAACTTGCTTCTGAATGTCCATGACTATGAATAATAAATGGCAGGTTACACATAATTTCAAGGGTAGATGTTGATAAATTTGTGTATATTTCTCCCAGGCTCTTAAGAGAAGCAAATAAAAAAGGCAGAGAAGTGCTTACATTTTCCTGGTTTGGCTGGAATTCGAATTACAGTGGGCTTCCTGGTGGTTGGTGGTTGAATTGCTCTTTCTTTTGTTGGTTCTGTTTTTGTGGGGAGCTGAAAGGGATCTAATAAAAAACATAGTTTATTTTGCATGTTTTAGTTAACACGACTCAAACAAAAAACCTCATTCATAATTTAAGAGTCATATTTTTCATGCCCCAGGGAAAACTATTCATGGATAAACAAAATCTCAGTTTGCAGAGACAAAAACAAAGTTGGAGCTCATAAAAGGAAATAATTTAGTACTCTGTAAATAATTCATATGGCTTTTCTTCCTCTATGATGAGAGATATCCAGGACAATCCTGAATTATGTAGGAGCAAGCTTTCAGGGGATGTAATCATTTCACAAGTGTCTGACTGAAAATGAGGGGCGACGGAGACGAGGAGACAATCTTTCCGCATCACGAGCCTCCCAGCTCCCCCAGGAGAAAGGGTGTGCTCTTCTGTGCCCGAGCATGTGTGGAACACTTACCCACAGGACCTACCAGAGGCCTCATCCTCCCCAGAACCTGCCTCGAACAGGCAAGGGCTTGGCAGTCGTGGGTCTGGTAGATTAGTCAGACTATACTTGGGTAACGTGAAAATGAAAAACCTCTCCCTTCAAACGTTTAAAGGCAAGGATCTATGATTCAGCATTTCTCCATCTCAACTCTCCTATTTTAAATGGACAGTACATGACTAAGGAAAGTATTTTAGACAAAAGTATAACCATAATTGTTTTTAATGGAAAGAAATAGGGTTTTTTTCTGTAATGTAAATGTTCTTTTCAGTGGTTTGGAAAAATGATTAAAGTTTTAGTATATGTGCTGCCAAAGTGAGCACTTTTTTTTTGGTACCATGGTTCAAACTCAGGATCTTGCGGTTGCAAGGCAGGCGGTGGGACCACTGAGCTAAATCCCTGGCCCCAAAATGACTAAAGTTTTAAAAGTTGGTTACAAGGGGCCAGGGATTTAGCTCAGTGGTTTTGCTGCCCTGCTGTGCAAGCGCAAGGACCCGAGTTCAATCCCTGGTCCCCCCCGCGCCCCAAAGTTGGTTGCAATGGCACATGCCTGTAATCCTAGGACTTGGGACCCGAGGACAGGATTGTGAGTTTGACGCCAGCCTGGGCTATACAGTGAGACCCTGCCTGAAAAATCAAAGATGGTAAAATCTAAAAAAAATACATTAGCAAAAATAGAATGAAATGCTCCGTAATAGGTAAGCTACAGAGCAGTGGATCTCGCGAGGCTGTCTCTGCCTTTATTCAAGACAAGAGACAGAATGAGCACTTGCTCAGCTCCTGCGAGCAACAGCTTTCACGTGTGCCTGTTCAAAGCTGCAGCACATGGCCCTTTTGCCAACCAGCTCTTCGAAGGGCATGGACAGAGCTGAGAGTAAGAAGGCCTTTCGGCAAGGACACTTCCCTCCCACCCTCCCACCGGGCTCTCAGGCAACCATCACACCAGCGGGTGCCCCGCAGTGGCACTCACTCACTGGCCACCGGCTCACATGTTTGTTTACCTGTCAGTAACAGTGCTGAATGGGGAGCCAGGACAGGAAAGCACAACCCTATTTGAAGTTTATCTACCACCTAGATCAGGTCCCCAGATGTGGTGCCAGCTAACACAATTATTACTCAGCTACCAAGAAAATGAAATTAGATGACCTATCAGCTCCCAAGTGAGGCAAGTCCTAAATTTAGAAAACCAATTCAAGATTATCAAATGATTAACAAGCATAGAATAAGACTGTTGTAATAATAATACAACTTTCTTCCACTGTAATTTATATCCCTTCTGAAACAAAGAAAGCTCTTGCTTTTAGGCTTTTTTTTGGGTACCGGTGATCGAACAAACTCAGGACCTTGCGCTTGTGAGGCAGACGTCGGAACCACTGAGCTAAATCCCCAGGCCTCTTGCTTTTAGGCTTATTCAAATTCCTTGACTTAATTTCTTATTTTTGTGAGAGCCATTAATTTTTACTACAAAGTAATATTTTTGTAAAGATGGAAAATATTAAAAATATAAAGCAAAATCTCTATTAGTTTCATCTTTAACAACTATTGTCTAAAATGGTGTATCTCTCTATATATTTTTCTACAAATATTTCATATATACTATATTGTGGATTTTTTTTTTTGCACAGGGTCTATGTAGTTTAGGCTGTCCTTGAACTCTCGGTGTAGCCAAGGCTGGCCTGGAACTCAGAGCAATCCTCCTATCTCTGCCTCTGGAGTGCTGGAATTACAGGCATGTTCCACCACACCCGGCTACAATAGATATTTTAAAAAACAGGCTCATTTCTTTCTTTTTTTTGCAGTACTGGAGATTGAACTCTTTTTTTTTTTGTATTAAATTCTTTTATTGGTACATTGTAGGTATACAACACAATTACATTTCTCATTGGGAATTGTACCTTTACATA